TGACATAATGGCGGCGGCCAACAAATTGATAACAACGGCGGGAGGAGCCAAATTTGACCCACTATTGAGGGCAATAGCGGCGGGGGGCGAATTGATAATGGTGGTGGGAGGAGCCAAATTCGGCCCACTATCGGGCCTGGGTGGCTCTAGGGTAAGGCCACTAAAGCTTCTGCTTTAGGCCCCCAATTTTTTTTTCTATTTGTTATAATTATTTATATTAGTAAAAAGTTTTTGTATTAAAAAAACATTAACATTTTGTTTTAATACACTACATTGGTTCTAGTTATCAAATATTTTATTAATAACATAAATATTTAAATAATTTAACTCAAAATTTTAAAATATTAGACAATGCTATAGTATGGAATACTTAAAAGAAACTTAAAAACTTGAAAGAAAATTTGTCAAAAATCATATAATTTTTTCTTGGTTATCTAAACTAATCGTGTCTATGTGTTCAACGGTTATCACATTACTAATGTTATTTCCTCACATCTTCTTAAGTTTTGGCTTTAGGCCTTCGATTTTATTGAGTCGCCCCTGCATTGAGGACAATGGCGGTGGCTGGTAAGGGACAAATTTGGCAGGGAAATGGCGAGGGGAGAGGGGAAGGAATCCGGTTAAGAGGTAAGAGCCAATATGCATATAACTGGTTATACATGATTATACACATATTACACATGATTTATACATATATTATATATTCATCGACTATTTTCGTGATTGGCTAACGACTATTTAAGTAAATTATTCTAATTACACCATCTTGGTAGAACACTAAAATCACACCTAAGTTGTGAAAAGTACAACAGCCACATGGCAAGATTATATTATTAAGGAAATCATTTCTAAAATGTTTTAATTCTAAATCCTACAAAATGGGTCACTAACAAAAGGCCATGTTATATGATCAATATAGCTTACCAGAGAGAGGTAATTTATAATTTATAAACCTGAGTAGATACATGAGTTCATCTTTGTCTTGGTAATTGGAACACATTTAACAGTTTATGACAATGAGTTAGAATCAATTTATTTATTTTTTACGTTTTTTATACTAAACAATTAGATCCATATTATCTATATTTTATGTTTGTACACACCCTTTAATAAATTTATTTAATAACCTTAATCACAAGAGTATTTGTCTAAAAAAAACTTAATTTATTTTAATCTGATTCATTCATTTAACACTCTACTAATTAGAGCATAGTAATTGTACATTTGAAAAGGTGATAACTTAAAAAACCACTAGATATTTGAAATGAATTTAATTTAATTAAAAGTCAAATATTTGGGACAGGAAGAAGTATTAAAGCTTAGTTTATTGATTGATTCATTATTTATTTCGACTAATTTGTGATAATCCTTTAGGTATTACTATAATTTACTTCTCTTTTTTTTTTTTGAATATTTTTTTTTTGGTTTATTTGATAAGGCACAAGTAACCAACCCTTTTCGTACCAAATAAAGGATTTGCGTCTACTTTATAAATACTAGGTTGAGACCACTCCCTAGGTTTCCCATTCAAATCTCTAAATACACTTTCCAATATTCCAGTAATTCCTCAAATGCAAGCGTCATAATTCGGCCACGAACAAAATTAAGTATTGTTGGTGAAATTACAAGAAATTATAATTGAAAAATAAAATGAAGAAAAATTAATAAATATTCTTTCGGCTGAAAATTAATAAATCGCTCTCTTTAAGGAGATTCAAGCCCACTGCTGTAGTATCTTCACAGGTCCAGCAGTAATACTCTTGACTTGTCCCCTTTAGGATACAACAACTCGACAACGTCGTATGACTCGAACAAACTCTAGACAAGTTGTTGAGTCCAACGCTCCATCAAAATGAACACCTTCCTACAACAAAAATAATATTATATTTTGTAGATAATAAGTTGGAGACTTAGATTTTTCTCCTTCTCTTAACTCTCTTTTTCACTACACCAATTTCATTTTTTGCATGCACACTACAATAATATTTTTCCCATCTACAACACAAGGAAGAAACGCCACTATTTATAGGTGTAAAATCTCTTCCATAAAATAAATAACAAAGTAGTGGAAAAATAAAATTGTAGAACATGGTTGGTGGTTATATTTTAATCTTTAGTGGGTAATTAGTGGTAGATCATGGCATTAGTAGTTTCAAGAGTTACACCAAAATAATGATCACTTTCTTGCCAATTTATAACCTCTATCTCACAAGATGCACTTTAATATTAAAATGCACTAACACCAACATTCTCCCACTCATTTTAATATTAAAACAATAGAGTTTACCAGTTGAAGGGAGACTATTATCCATAATGAAGGTGTTCTCTGCATTGAACCTCTACTTAGTAAAATAGCAATCTCTACGCCAGAGTCAGTAGCGATCTCTGATGTTTGGCTATAATTCCATATTTTTAGTGCATTACTTACCTTACATTTTAGGTGCTATAATGCTAACTATATTATATTTGTGCTTAATTGAGTTTATTTTATGTGTAGGTATATTGGAGATGATATTGGAGCAAAGTAAATATTGAATTTGTAATTCATGCTCTAAAATAATATTATAATGGGCTCATACACATTATCTGTCATCTGGATTCATGTTAGGCAACACTTTGGTCAACTACATTGTACTATCTCAGTATAATGATATATTGAGGGCTAAGAGACATTATGACTACATCGAAAAGACCAACCAAAAGAAGACAAGAGAACAAATTGAAAAAGAAGGGAATTGTTGATGAAGAAAGAATAAATGAGAAAGAAGAAAACCAAAGAAACGAGAACTGGAATGAAAAGTTGGCAACAAAATTGAAATGAAAAAGCTGGCGTAGCAAGCCATTTTGAACGTAACAGAGTGGGCGACGCGAGCAATCTATCTCGTTATAGAGCATGCGGCGCGAGAAATATACCTCGCGATGGAGCTGGCGACGCAAGGGTTAAAGCGAGGTGGAGCGCGCTATAGAGGTCGCGCCGCGAGGTCTATAGCGAGCGTGTTCCGGATTTTTAAATCCTATTTTATCTCCTATTTAATTTTGGACTTGGTTATTTCGGTTAGGTCTTTTCCCTACACATATAAATAGTCATTAAACACCATTTTTAGGGGGAGTTCTGCGACGGGAGGCAAGAACATCACGTGGAACAACTTTCGGAGGAGAAAATCATAGAGTTCTTCATTCCTTTATCTTTTCTTTGTACTTTATTTATGCAAAATACTTGGAAAATTATTACTACGAACATGAGTGGCTACGCACTCTAGTTTCTAGGGTTGTGGTTGACATGATTATTAACATTTATTAATTACATCTTTGTTAATTCGGATTATCATCTTGTGGTTGTTTCTTTAATTCTAGTTTTAACTTGTGAATTGTTGTAGCTACCAATTCACCCTACTATCTATGCTATGCTTGGAAAAGCCGTGTTTAGATTAGAGTAGATTTAGAGAGAGCTTGTTTCTGAACCGTGGCTCGGGGAAAGATTTCGCAATTAGGATAGGAATATACTTAACAGTCTTGCTTAATTAAATATCGTATTATATACATTCATGATGGACTCAATACCATAGGAATATAGGGTTGATATATTGTGGGCATGCAAGTAGTATTGTGGGAACATGCTATTCATATAAACGATCCGGTTTATTAACAATCATAGATAATCTGGATTAACGAGCGTGATTATTGAACTTAATAAGATTGACAAACCAACCACAACCCTGGAATTTTCATCTCCTCTGAAGTAAAATCTCATCATACACAATTACATTCTTGATAATTTAGTTGTTACTTGTTTAATTTCCGCAATAGTAGATTAATAGAAAAACATCACTCTTAAATATCTTGGACAATTAATTGATTTTAGTTTGCTTAGTTAACAATTGATCTAAGTCTCTGTGGGTTCGACATCCGACTTTCGAGTCACTTTATTACTTGACGGCCACGTATACTTGCGTTTACTTGGGGAACCAACAAGTTTTTGGCGTTGTTGCCGGGGACTTAGTTATTGATTGTTTATTTGAGTTAAGTTGCTATTCGTTATTTGTTCAAGTTTAGTTGTTAGTTTGCTTTATTTGTGATAACGCATGCTCTTCTCTTGAATGCGGAGGAGTAGAAGCGCAAACAATCTTCTTCCTCTTGATCCTGAAATCGAACGAACACTTCTTATAGTGAGGAGGGAAGTCGAAGCTAGAACTAGAATTGAAAGAGGGTTGGACATCGTAGTTCAACCACAAACAATAGAGATGGCAGGTAATGAAGAGCGTCCGGTGATAGAGGCTGCAAGGCCCAATCTGGCTAATATGACTCAGGCAATTGTGAAGCCTGATATCACGGGTCACTTTGAACTCAAACAGTACATGGTACAACTGATTCAATCCATATGGCAATATGTGGGTCTATCTCATGAAGACCCGCAGAGGCACATTCAGAACTTCCTGGAAATTACAAGCACTTACAATTATCCGAACGCTTCCAAGGACTATTTCAGGCTGACACTGTTTCCTTTTTCACTTATGGGGGAAGCTAAGGAATGGTTACAAAAGGAGACCGCGAACTCAATCCACAATTGGGATGATCTAGCAAGGAAATTCTTAATCAAGTTTTTTCCCACAAAGAAGACAAAGTCACTGAGGAGCCAGATTCTGGGGTTTCAACAACGAGATGGTGAGACTCTTCGACAAGCTTGGGAAAGATACAAGAAGCTACTCAAAGACTGCCCACACCATTGTCAGACTGATGAGGTGTTGGGTCACGCTTTCGTTGATGGGTTGGACGAGGCATCAAAGATGAATCTTGACTTAGCATGTGGGGGTAGTTGCATGGCAAGATCTTATAGTGAGATCCAGATCCTGCTAAATAATTTCACTGCTAATGATAATAGTTGGCAAGGATATGGGGAACCACGAAGAGTACTTAAACAAAAGGCAACATATGTGGTCGAGCTTGATGATTTCTCAGCAATGAGGGCAGAAATAGCGAGACTAGCAAATTAGATAAATAAAATGACAATGCACCCCGCACAACAGATGCAACACGTGCAACAGATGTCTACTTGCTGCGAGTTATGTAGTGAAGGTCACACAAGTGACATATGTCCCGTGAATCCTGAATCCATCTACTACATGGGGCAACAAGCTAGCGGGCCGATGAATCAACATGCTCAATATGGTAAAACATACAATCCGAACTGGAGGAATCATCCTAACTTCTCTTGGGGTGGAAATCAGAAGATCAGGCCTCAAGCGAATTACAATCATCCACCTCAACCTCCACAGCAAGCAGAAGAGAGTTTGACTGACGTGATGAAAAGGCATTTGATAGACAATCAGAAAGTTATGACTGAGAATCAACAATTCAGGGCTGAGAATCAACAATTACGCACAGAGTTCAGAAATCTAGAGAGACAGTTTGGGCAAATGGCTAACAATCAGAATACTAGACCTGCTGGAGCTCTCTCGAGTTATATTGAGCATAATCCTAAGGCTCAAGTCAATGGCGTTACCTTGAGAAATGGAAGAGAATTAGAAGAAGTTTCAGAGAAAAAGAAGTATACAACGAGTCCTGAAGGAAAATTAATTCTTAAGCCAGTTGAGGAGAATGAGAAAGAAAATAAAGGATCAGAGCCAATAAATATGACAAGGCCACCACCTCCGTTTCCACAAAGGCTGCAAAAGCAAAAATATGATGACTATGTACAAGAAATTCTTAGATATTTTGAGCCAAGTGCGTGTGAATTTGCCTTTGGTGGAAATTTTGCAGGAAGTGCCAAAGTATACAAGGTATCTCAGAGATATTGTGGCAAACAAGCGAAGACATACAGAGTTTGAAACAGTTGCACTTACTAAAGAGTGCAGTGCTAGATTTCAGAGTAAGCTTCCTCCTAAGTTGAAGGATCCTGGGTGTTTCACAATTCCTCTATCTCTTGGAAAACAAGAAGTTAGTAGAGCCCTGTGTGATTTAGGGGCTGGTATAAATTTGATGCCATCCTCGTTGTTCAAGCAACTCGGATTGGGGGTGCTTAGACCTGCTACAATCACTTTACAGTTGGATGATAAGTCACTAGTTACTCTAGAAGGAATTATTGATGATGTGTTAGTTCGAGTGGGAAAGTTTATTCTTCCTGTTGATTTTATTGTTCTTGATTACGAGGCAGATGAGGAAGTACCCATTATTTTGGGGCGACCATTTTTAGCTACTGGTGGAGCGCTTATTGATGTTAGGGAAGGGAAGTTGAAGATGAGAGTTGTCGATGAGGAAATCACTTTTAATGTGTACAAGGCACTTGATCCCTAGGCATTATGAGGACTTGTGCATGATTACTGTGGTAGAACTGAAGGGGAGAGAGCAGAGTCCTTATATGAATTGTAGTGATTTGGATGGGACAATTGAGTTGGAAAAGGTGGTGTTGCAAGCTGGGTGTGTAAGGATGATTGAGAAAAGAGCCAGAGATGAAAGAGGAGACCTTCTGAGAGCGTGTAAAAAGGCTATACTTGATGGGAGAAAGAAGAGGAGAAAGCACCTAGCCTGAGCAGAGTAGCAGTGTCGTGTCGCGACGTTAAATCGGGCGCTTGTTGGGAGGCAACCCATCTTTACTGCTTTCTTTTATTTTTATTTTTATCTTATTATTGTCGTAGTGTTTGTTTTTGTTTTGTAGGATTATAAGCATGTGAAGCAAAGCCATTGGAAGAGTGCAAAAGTAAGTTAGATGGCGAGAACTAAGTGTGGGGTGCCAACACAAAGGATCATGCCCGGGGAAAGTTTGAGTACCCCGTGAGTTGCTATTGCTTCGGCCTTTGGCCTTTCAGGGAGTTTCTTGTCCACCCTTGTTATTGTTTTGCTTTATTTGTGCATTAGGGATACTGCACTCCTTTAAGTGTGGGTGGGAAAATTCTCTAAATAATTAGTAGTAGGATGTTAGAAGAATATTAATTTCTTATTTTTGCTTTTGTAGTTGTGTAGTATTTTAGTAGCTATGACAAAAATCGAAAAAAAAGTACAAAAATTAGACTTTTCCCAACGATGGATCTCCTAGACAGTTTTCTTGAGGGATTTAAGCCTAAAGAAAAAGGACAACAAATATTTTCTTTGTAGGTAGTATAGTAATTCCCCCTTAGTTTTTCTTTGTACCGCGGTTCTTTTCCAAGGGTTTTGTTTGAACCAGGTGTAGTTAGTTTATTTTTTTTAGGAGTAGGAGCCACTGTGAGATGAATTGAATTGAAGCAATATCTCTTGACTTTATTATGCCTTGAGAATAGTGAGTACTTTGGTTGTGACACTTAGGCTTAGTTATTGACTCTTGTATAAGTACCTTAAATTGTATGATCTTAACTTTGCTTAACTGCTTTTACTAGAATGTCTTGATGAAATTAATCCTGAGTGAGTTATGTGTCATGTGTATGTGAGGTTTGTGTGTTATTCTGTGCATAGCATTTGATGTCTAGAACTTGCCCCGTGTGTTTGCAAAGCAAAATAGTAGCGTTGTTCAGTCTTGAAAGTGATATAGGCGTTTCTTTGTTGAGCCAGACATATATAGTTTACCCGCCTAATTGTTATGTATCGTAGTTAATCCCTTTGAGCCTATAATCATGTTTCTTTGGCAACCACATTACAAGTCTTACACATTTATTTGAATTAATCATTTTTTAACCTTTTAACCTCTCATGAACACTTGAATTGTTATGAACTTTGTAAAAATTAAAGCGTGGGGTAGTTGGTTTGGCTTTTGAGTGGAACTAATGAAATAAGGAGAAAGGTGCACTGTTTTGAAAAAGTAAGAGTTACTTGAATTGAAAAAGAAAGAAAAAAAATAGTTGTATTGCTGTGAAAAATATTTCTTGATAGTGGTGACTCTTGATGTAATTGTGCTTAAAGAAGTATGGAGTTAATATATATTGATGTGAAGGTGGAGTTATGGTTTGACATAAGTATGGAGTTTAAATGTTAAAGTATATGTATTAAAGTGCTTAGGGAGGTGTAGTCACTCTTATATCCAAATATATCCTAACCGACCCGCAACCTACATTACAACCAATTAAAGTCCTACTTGATCATAAACTGAATGAACTTGATTAATAGAGTAATACACTACGGGCAAGCTTATGGTGCATCTTTTGTAGCATATGAATATTATTTTTGAGAGTGAGTGAATTCTTTCTATCTTGAGTTCCTAATTGTTCTTAAATTCTATTGTGTGTGGAACTAATCTCTTTTGTTGTGTAAGGGCACTTGATTCATGAAGGAAATGCAATGTCATTGACCTTTATGTTAGAGTAAGTGAGTGAGTTGTGAATAATGCATGGAACTTGTGAGCCAAATCTTGAGGTGAAGATGTTACACTCTTGTGCTTAGTCTATTTTAAAGATTCTTGGTGTGATGAGTTAGGAGAATTGTTAAAAAAAGGTCGTGTCTATATAAAGTGTAGTTTGATTGCTCGAGGACGAGCAACGTTTAAGTGTGGGTTTAGTGATGTTTGGCTATAATTTCATATTTTTAGTGCATTACTTACCTTATATTTTAGGTGCTTTAATGCTAAATTATACTATACTAGTATCTATAAACGTGCGTTGCACGTTAATAATGACACATGTTGGTTTAAATATTTATTTATATGAATGATTAATAAATTTAATTAATGAGAGAAATTTTATATATAATACTACAACAATTATCTAAATGCCGAAAAATATTATTACATTAGCATAATACGTGAATTCAAAATTAAAGGATATCATAATAACTTACATAAATGATCAATTTTAGTCATATTACGTAGATAATTATGTATTGTAGTTTAAAGGTATCTAATGTGATGGTATCTTATCGAATACTTCTATATAGACAGTGTTTTTTTGTATATGTTTCCTTCTAATGCTTTGGTTACTCTGCTATAACCAGAACTCTTGTTGTCGATATTAATATCTCTCTTGAAAGTGCAACATATAGTTATTCGTAAGTATTGTGGTAAATATAGTTCAATATTTAGGATGTTTGTCCTTGTGCTATATTTATTATAAGTACAAAATATAAACATACTGAAAATTATTTTCACACAAGCTTAAAAGGATATTCTTTAGTTTCGGAAGACAAAAATTGAATTCGGGGATAAACACATACTTAGAAGCATATTGACCAGTATCATAAGTTCTGCATGTATGACGTTATTGTCAAAACTTCTATATACCATATGTGTACTATTACATAAGCTATTCAGCGGATCTACGTTTTCAGTAGCATGACATACATATTTTTCTTCAAAATAACGTATATGCAATAGAAGATCAATTTTAACTTAGTCTATTATATATATATGGTGACACTAACATTGGTAAAAAATAATGAACTTGACAACAAACATGTTCGGTAGAAGGCCATTTGGTATGAAAGTATTTAAGTATTCTTCTTAGTAGTTATTGTTGGTATCATCTTCAGTTGCGTCACAACTAAAAAATGTTTTATTTTTACACCATAAAACTTATCAATCAACATTTTATTTAGTTGATCAATATATTCGTTTTTGCTAGCTAAGATAACTCTTTAATTTCTACCATGTAATTTGCACAAATTGTGTTTTAATCTAATGATGAAAATATATATTTTCTTTATTAAATGCACTACTATTACCATTGGGGTTGATAACCAAGTGTTCTAGAAGAACCAAATCATCTTTTACTGGATGCTCTTATTCATTTCCGACACGAAGCAAGAAGTCATTGGATGTTGGATCTATTCTTACTTTTATATTTCTTGTCATTTGAATATTTTTCATTTGAGGTCATAAGTATAATTTTGGCAAGCTAGCTTTACAGTTTCTGCTTTGGTCAATTTTGGAACTACTAATCGTACTTGACAGAAATCACCTCCCAAACTATTACTTTTCCACCAAACGGTTCATCGACATCCAACATATCTCTAAAACTCTAGGCGATTGTTTCGATCGTTTGACGCTTAGACAAAATCGATTCATCCTATATTATCACTTTTGCTTTCCTTATAAATTTAGCACTATTGTTCTGATTTGATATATTTATGATGGTTATTTCAGTTATTTGAAGAAGTATATCAAATCTAAAGTGGGTTGTACAACCTCATAATAAAATCGTTGTTGGTATATCAAATCTATTTCAGTTATTTCATTTTTTGAATATTTAACCGTGATTATAATTTTATCCACCATAAATTTTATTTTTAAAGAGTAAAAAGATTGATAACATTCCACTTTCAGATATTTATGTTTGCAAAATTATTAATGGTATTGGCTCTTACCAACCTTTTGTGATGACCCAAAAGGTCATCACTTGTTTTTAAATTAAATTTTGTATTTCGAGGCCTTAAAAATTTCTTTCAGTATCATCTCGATTTTAAGTGCGCAGTCCGGGCACAAGCCGGAAGTCTATATGTGAAAATCTGTGAAAAATAATACAAATTTGGCTTTAAAATGAATTAAGTTGACTTCGGTCAACATTTTGGGTAAACGGACCCGGACCCGTGGTTTGACGGTCCCGGAGGATCCGTAGGAAAATATGGGACTTGGGCGTATGCCCGGAATCGAATTCCGAGGTCCCAAGCCCGAGAAATGAATTTTTGAAAGAAATTATTTTCTGAAAAATATAAAGGTTTTTGAAAGTGAAATGTTATGTGAAACCTGTGGTATCGGGCCCGTATTATGGTTACGGAACCCGGTACAGGTTCAATATAATTTATATGTGTTGTTGGTAAAATTTGGTAAGAAACGAACTTGAAACGACGTGAATCGGATAGTTATTGAGAAAATTGGAAATTTGAAGTCTTGAGAAAGTTTCATGATTTTGATGCTAAATTCATAGTTGTTGATGTTATTTTAGTGATTTGAATGCACCAGCGAGTCCGTATGATGTTTTTAGGGTGGTGTGCATGTTTGGTTTGGAGCCCCGAGGGCTCGGGTGAGTTTTAGATAGGCCACGGGGTGAAATTTTGGACATAAGGAATTGCAGTCCTGCAGGCTTCGCATTTGCCAACCTCCCTTTGCAATTCCCAGTTCACATTTCCCAACCTCCCTTCGCAATTCCCAGTTCGCATTTCCCAACCTCCCTTCGCAATTCCCAGTTCGCATTTCCCAACCTCCCTTCGCAATTCCCATAACTGCAGCCTGCAACTTTTTATACTTAGCCAAAAAACAACCCTTTTTCACATCTTTTCAAAACAAAAACTCCCTAGGGCGATTTTCCAAGAACAACTCTTCTTCCAAATCGGTTGTAAGTCAATTTTTACTAGTTTCCTTCAATTATTAACATCTTTTAACATGATTTCAACTCAAAATCAATGATTATCATGGGGGAAATTGGGTGTTTTGGGTAGAACCTAGGTTTTCAAAAAAAAGATGATTTGGACCTCGATTTGAGGTCCGATTTCAAAAAAAATTATATATTTGAGTTCATAGGTGAATGGGTAGTTGGGTTTTGGTTCGAACCTCGGGTTTTGACCATGTGGGCCCGGAGCTGATTTTTGACTTTTTGGGAAATGCTTTAGAAAACTTATTTCCATGCATTAGAA